GGGAATTGCATATTTATTTCATTTTATTCTCACAACAACTCTGGGAAATAGGTGCTATTATTATTCTCATTTTACAGATGAGACTGAGGCAGACAAGTTAAGTGACTTTCCCAGGGTCACATAGCTATTAACGTCTGAAGCAGGAACTGAACTAAGGTCTTCTTGGCTCCAACTCCAGGGCTCTATCTGCTATGCCACATACATGTTGATGTATATTTATCACAAAGTCTAATTCATGTCAAGGAAATTTTATACTAACTTCATCAATAATAGTTTGTGTATTATGTTATTTAACTGAGGAAATTAACATAACAAAAAGAACAAACAATATTTATTGTTGTTGGGGTTGTTCTTCCTGATGGTCCATTATTATGTACTCATGTAGCCTAGGAATTAGACGGAGAGCCCTCTCCAGGGCTTGCAGTCAAGAAGACCTGAGTTCATATCTGCCCTTAGACACTCACTAGCTATGTTACCCTGGGTAAGTCACTTAACCCTGTTTGCCTCAGTTTCCTCATCTGTAAAGTGAGCAGGAGAAGTAAATGGCAAATCACTTCAGTATCTTTGCCAAGAAAACCCTAAATGGGGTCAGAGAGTCACACATGACTAAAACAGCTGAATGACAAGTATCAGGAAGAGAGCACCTAGTCCTAAGGGGATGAAGTAGAGAGAAGCATGGGGGCAACAAACACATAGGGAGATGGAGTAGGAGCATTAGAGGAATATAGGGTAGGGGAATTACAGAGGAGATAAACATCAAGGAGACCTGAGCTGGAGCAAAATATTTTCTTTCTTTGGCATCTTCCCTCTTGTGAAATGAAAGTGTTGGATTAAATTATTACTAAGGGTGCTTAAAGCTCAAAATCTTACTGTCCTTATAACCCAACTGAGGTTTTGGGCAGTGGGACAGGTAGGTGACAGCTCCAGTTAGGCCGGAGCTCAACCAGAACCTTACAGGTTAGTGATGCGTTTCTGATGTACCTAAGACATTTGACTGATTTATTTCACTTCCCATTCCCCCAAATTGACCTACTGTCTTTTCCAGGCCCCTGTCTTTACCCATACCATTCTCTGATCATAAGGGGACTTTAAATCAAAAGTTATCTACTTAAAGAGTAGTTATAGAACCCTGCCCTAGAGAAACAAAGCAAAGACCAAGGTCAACAGCATGATCTTCTGGATCATGTTCTCAAACAAGTTAAATTAATATTAAATTCGTATTTTAATGCAACCATAGTGGCTCCAATGCTTCTGGCACAAGATATTGCCATCTGTCTGCATTCCATGGATAAGAATCGGATTACTATCCCACTTTCAGGCATAGTTCCACTGTTACTTCCTCTCTGAGGCCTTCCCTGATGGTCCCAAACTATTCTCTTTCATCTCTTCTTTGAATTCTTATGGGACTTTGAGCCTCTTTAATCCACTTACCACCCGCTAGCTTGTATTGTAGTTACTTCAGAGTTTCTGCAGGATTCAAAGTTGGAAGGGACCATTGATCCAAAGCCTTCATTTTGTTGTTGTTATTAAGTCATTTTTCAGTTGTGTCTGACTCTTCATGACCCAATTTGGGGTTTTCTCGGCAAAGATACTGGAATGGTTTTCCATTTCCTTTTCCAGCTCATTTTACAGATGAGGAATGGAGGCTAACAGGGTTGAGTGACTTGCTCAGAATCACACAGCTAGAAAGTTTCTGAGACTGGATTTGAACTCAGGCAGAATCTTCCTGACTCCAGGCCTGACATTCTATCTACTATGCCACCAAAGAAAACAAATGCCCCCCAAAATACCCAGTCTTCCCTTGGGGAATAAGAATGCTCACTTATCTGGATATGATCCAAACCACTGTGAAGACTTCAGGAAGACCACAACCTGCAGGCAGCAATGTCAGATAGCAGCTAGTGTTTGATACAGGGAACAGTAATAGATTATAATAGTCCATAATGCACACAGGGTAAGTCCTTTAAGCTGCCTGGGCCTTGCTTCCTTCATCTGTAAAATGAGAGTCAGTTCCAGACATAGGATCGTATGATCCCCAATATACCTCAAGCACTTCTTATTCTTGTCAGTGTGGGAACTCCATCCCAATGAGAACCCAACCTTCCTGTAACTTAAAGTCTAAGAGAGATTAAGTATTTTTCCCATGGTCATACTTCTGCTAAAGCCAGAGGCATGATTTGAATCCTGGTCCTCCTGACTTTAAGTCTAGCTGTCTATCCACTGACACATGGTGCTGCTCATAAATACACTCCCCTTCCTCCTCAATCAATCAATAAGCATTAAATGCTTGCTATGTGCCAGTCACTGTGCTAAACACCAGTAAGTACAGAATGTAATTTTTAACTTTTATTTTCACTCTGAAATTCTTCCTCCCCCAACCCACTGAGAAGGCAAGAAATATGATACCCATTATATATCTGAAGTCATGTAAAACATAATATACCTTTTTAAAGAACTGTCTTCATTTGCTTGAGTTCTGTACCTACTTGTGCTGTTGCATAGGCTATTGCTAATCTCAGCAAATCCGAAACTATGCTAACTCTGATGTCTTGGGTAATTCTGTTTACAAATATAATGTGCAAAGCAGTTAAGCCTATTACTAGTTTCTGTTTCCAATTATAATCCACAGTGGCACATTTCTTTCTATAAAATAAGGAAATGCAATGGAAGATCATATTTTCCAAAGAGGAGTGTCCTGTGAATTCTGGGAATGGTAGGTCAGATGTTTTTGGAGTCTTAATTTCATCTTCATTTAAGTTTTAACAGTCAGTATATTTTAGATGGCAGGCCACCAAGGATGGGTATATTAAACTGACCCCGTTTTTTTTTAATTGAAAGAGGCTACCTGCCAGTATCTGATTCAATCAACACCCTCAAATGTGGCTGTTCATTATAAATAGCCTTGTGAGTTGGTTAACTCTCAATGGAAAATCTCATTTCCCTAGTGAGTTTTTACTTTCTCATTTTATGAATCTCATATTTTCTCTATGTTGGGTGCAAGTCAACAGGGTCTTCTCAATTCCACAGAATGATAAAATGGATACTCAAAGTAGAAAGGAAAGCTGGGCAAGTAGAAAGGAAGGATAGGGAAGAGAATAGAGATGGTTGGGGGAACTGAATTATTCTTGATTGGTAAATATGGACATTTGCTGGACAGCTGGTTACTTAAGGCAGGAGCGATTCAGTGTCAAGGATCTAGAAGACAAAACCTACTCAGAAGTCACATGGACAATACTTATCATAGATTCTACTCTAACCTCACCAAAACTGACCTCAAATAAAGGAAGTCGCTATTAGCTTTTAGGAATGACAGGTGCTCCTTCTGGAGAACAGACTTAGCTGAGGATATGCTGGCTGTCTCCAAGTATTTCAAGACTAGCATGTGGAAAAGGAATTAAATGTTCTCTGCTATAGCTTTTACTACAAAGTAGGAGCAGTGGTTAGAGGTTGTATGGTACATTCAGGTTCAATGGAAGGGAAAGACTTCCTAACAGTAAGAGATGTCTTAGAAGGTAGTGGGTTCCAGGTAACTGGGCAAAGACTGGAAGACCATTTGTTGTAGGTAATGGAATTACAGAGCTGGAAGGAACTTCAGTGGCCTCCTTGTCCTTTTCATGCTGAATATATAACTTCCTCTAAAAAGAACTTTAAAAGAGATAAGAACCCTGATCAATACAATGATCAACCATGATTCCAGAGGACCAGTGATAATGGATGCTACCCACCTCCTCATCTAGAGGTAACAGATTAAATATGCAGAATAAGAGAGATGCACATTTTTTGAAATAACAATGTGGAAATTTGTATGCGTGCGTGTGTGTATGTGTGATTGTATATTCATTATGAGGATCTATTCTTTTCTTTTTTTCCCCCTAGCAGAAGAGGAGGTGAGAGGAAGAGAAAATACCCTTTTAATTAAAAAAAAAAATTAACAAATTATCTAATGAGTATTGGCACAAACTGCGAGGAAAAATCTTCCACAATAAAAACCAACTAATAATTATTTGAAAATAGAAGGAATTCTTCTGTAGGTAGAAGCTGAACTATATGGCTTATGAGGTCCTGTCTAACTTTTAAATTCGGTACCTTAGAACCTGTGCCTCTAACAGAAGGGTTGCTTAATGAATACAGTCAATCAACTGCCTGGAGCCAAAGCACCCAGGGGATGGCATGGGGAAATTGGATTCTTGTTTTTTTTTTCTTTTCTTTTCTTTTTTTTTTGGTCAGAGTTGCATAGTTTGTTTTTTTTTAAATTAATAAATTTATTTATTTTTAGTTTTCAACATTTACTTCCACAAGATTTTGAGTTCCAAATTTTCACCCCATCTCACCCCTCCCCCCACCCCAAGATGGCAAGCATTCTGAATACCCCTTTCCCTAGTCTGCCTTCCCTTCTATTTCTTCCCCACTTCTCTTATGCCCTTCCCCTTCTATTTTCCTGTAGGGCAGGATAGATTTCTGTAACCCATTTCCTGTATTTCTTATTTCCCAGTTGCATGTGAAAACACATTTTTTAAAAAACATGTGTTTTTAAAACTTTGGGCTCCAAATTTTCTCCCTTCCTCCCTCCCCACCCACCCACCCTCATTGAAAAGGCAAACAACTCAATATAGGCTATACATGTGCAGTCATGCAAAACACTTCCATAGTAGACATGCTGTGAAAACCTAACTCTATTTCCTTTAATCCTATCCTGCCCCCCCATTATTCTATTCTTTCTTTTGACCCTGTCCCTCCTCAGAAGTATTTGCTTTTGATTACCCCCTTTCCCAATCTGCAATCCTCTCTATCATCCCCCTACTCTCTTGTCCCTTTCCCCTCCTATTTTCCAGTAGGGTAAGAGTGATGGGAAGTTGGATTCTGAAACCCACATCAGAACCACTTCTTAATAGTTTCTCTAATCTATTAGGGTATGTGATACGTGTATGTGTGAAAACTCTTTGGAACCACTATTAAATGCCAAGTGTTTCTATCCATCTCAGACAAACACAAACGAATGATCCTTTCCAAGACTGACAGCAGCAACTTTATTTGGTGATGAAGATGTGTGTTTCTTCCCATGTCCACTAACAATCAAGAGGCAGACCTTAAGCATCCAACTGAGAGGTCACTTTTGTTGTTTGCATCACATTCCATAAAGATTCAAAAGAAATCATCAACACACCCTTCACCCCTTATCTCTGAATCCTGAGATAATTACAGTCACGAAATAAAACTATAATTAAAAAATTATAGTCCCTTTGAAAATTCACGAACGCACCAAGGTAACACTGGAAAAGTTGTCCATTGGATTGATGGTTTTCCCTGCAATCAAACACTTCTGGAGATTTAAGATCACTGATTGCAACATCAAAACAAATTAGAAGCTTTTTTAAAAAAAATGAGAAAGACCAATAGTTTCTGATTGAAATCTCCTTGCTGCAGTTGGGTGCGTTGTCAAAAGTAGAGTTCTTTGGTGAGCATGGAGACCATGCATGGAATCTGTTTCTTCTCATTGAAGGATGGGTCATCAGACTGAGATTCAAAGTCCGTGGCGACTCTGTAGTTCACTCGTGTGAGGATCTGCATGATCTCCAAGCTTTTCCCATCCTCATTCAGGACTGAGCAGAGGGCCTGCACAAACCAAGAGCCCTTTCCCGGATTCCTCCATGAATAATAGCCTTCAGAGAGGGGAGAAAGATCAAAGGGCATGACTTTGGCAGCTAGTTCCCCAAGAGCCATTGGGAAGAGATAAGCTTTCACGTATTAGAAAGGCTTTTTGGATCTGCTTTTCAGAATACTCTTAAGCAGTCCTAACTATGTTTGTGTGAGTCACTACTGATTATAGGATAACAGATTTAGAACTGGAAAGGACCTCAGAGAGCATCAAGGCCAGCCTCCTTATTATATACATGAGGAAACTGGGGGAAGCTAGGTGGTGCAGTGGATAGAGCACCAGTCCTGGAGTCAGGAGGACCTGAGTTCAAATGCGGCCTCAGACACTTGACACTTACTAGCTGTGTGACCCTGGGCAAGTTACTTAACCCCACTGCCTAGCCAAAAAAGAAAAAGGAAAAGGAAAAAAAGAAGAAGAAAAAAGATAGATGAGGAAAACAAGGCCCAGAAAGTTTAAGTGACTTCTCTGAGGTTATAAAGCTATTATCTGAGGTGGGACTTGAACCCAAGTCTCCCTACTACCCACTCAAGCTTGGTGGGTAGTAGATATAGTGTTGGACTCAGAATCAGGAAGAACTGAGTTCAAATCCTGCCTAATACATTTATTAGCCATGTGATTCTGAGCAAGTCCCTGACTCTCTCAGTTTTCTTATCTATAAAATGGGGTTAATAATAGTATCTACCGCCCAGGGATTCTGCGAAGACCAAATGGGATAATATATGTAAAGAGCTTTGCAAACCTTATAGACCTATATAAATACTAGCTATTATTATAGTGTGGCATGGCAGATAGGGTTACAGTCTTTTCTTCTTCTTATTAGGACAGGACAGTACTATGTACACCACTGTGAAACAAGCCAAGGGCTACTAGTGGCAGGTTAATGAGACAAATGAAATAGACTCAACTCTTGTATATTACTGAGTCTATAATGAGAACCTCATTGGTTAAATGTTCTGACCTCAAGTAAATCAGGAATAAATATCTGTTTGCTTATCAGTTATATGGTGCTTTTCAGATTTCTCTCTGAAAGGACATGTCATCAGCCACTGTCAGAAAAAGAATCCCAGCTTGATTATACTTCCAGCATGCCCCTTGTCTAAATCCAATGGGAAAAATTTACTTTCTAAGACTTGCATTGTATTTTCTAGTTTTGAAAGTATTACTCTGTACTACTGGTCCGTTGATCTTCTTAAACTCAAGAGGTAGGTAGGTCAGTTATTACTACACTGGTCAGAATACAAGCTGCCCCATTAAAAAGCAACCTCTTTGTAAAGTAAAAAATGTATACACTGAAAAATAATTATTCAAAATTGCCTAATTTGCTAGTGGCTTTCTTTTCCTGTGCTCTCATTCACTCTCTACCTACATCCCCCACAAGACAATAATTTTGTATTTGCTTTGTGTGCGGGTTGTTTCCTTACAATAGAAAGTAAGCTCCTTATGGGAAGGGGCTACTTCATTTTTGTCTTTTATTCCAAGTACCTACCACAATGCTTGGAATGCAGCAGGGGCTTAATAAATGCTTGTTAATGAAAGAATTGTGAAAAGCACCCTGGATTTGGAGCAAGATGCCCTTGACCCACGTAAAAATCTTGGCTCCATTGCTAACTGGCTGACATTAACCCCGCGTAAGTCACCTCACATATCCAGGTCTATTTCTTCACTTGTAAAATGACTATGTAACTTTTAAAGCCCATTTTCACTCTAATAGACTTATAAGAGGTAGAGGAGTCTACTAATAAAAGATGGCTCACTTTCAGTCGACCTCAACCCTTCCTTCACTGTTAATCAGTTTCAAAGCTTAAAAACACATGGGTTCCAGAATCTCTGCTTCCCTCCCCAACCTATTTTTCCACTTCACAAGAAAGGGGGTGTAGATGAGAGATGGAGATGGAAACAACAAGATTTGGTGATAATTTTATAATGTGGAGCAAGTGAGAATGAAGAGATGTGAATCTGGGTGACTGGAAGGATGGCGGCACCTTCTAAGTCAGCTACTCTCAAACTTTTTGGTAGGACCCCTTGATGCTCTTTGAGCACCTCAAAGAGCTTTTGCTGATGTGGGTTATGCCAATCAACATTTACTGTATTAGAAGTTTTAAAAAATGTATCAATTCATTTTAAAATAATAACAATAACAAACCCGTTACGTGTTAACATAAATAAAACATTTACGAAAAATAACTTTTTTCCAAAATGAAAAAATATATAGTGAGAAGATTAGCAGTTTTACATATTTTTTTTGCAAATCTCTCAAATGTCTGCCAGCTGAAGGCTGAAGGCCAGAAGGCAGCTGGATTCTTCTATCTGTTTCTGCCTTCAACCTGTTACAATATGTTGTTTTGGTTGAAGTAGATGTAAGAAGAAAATCCAGTCTCAAAAAGATAAGTAATTGCGTCTCAGTGTTATTATGAAAATAGTTTTGTTTCTGTAGGACCTTCTGAAAGGGTTTTGGGAAATCCCAGGGGTCCACAGACCACGCTTTGCAAACTGTTGATGTAATAGGTAAATTCAGAAGAGGGGTAAGGTTTTTTTTGGTGGGGAATGAGGGTTTTTTGGATATGTTGAGTTTGAGATGCTTACAGTTTGAAATGTCCAATAGACAGTTGGTGATGAGAGACTGGAGCTAAAAGGAACTACAGATAGAAATATCTCTTTATAGAGCTATACAGATTTATCTAGATAGCTATGAGAGTTATATGTATAGAAATTACTGTTAAATCCATGAGGGTTGATGAGGTCACCAGGTGTCAATGTACAGAAAGAAAAGAGGATCTAGAACAGAGACTTGGGGGTAAACATAGGGTCCCTTTGAACTCTGAATCTGGTAATAAAGTGACCTTATGATTTGATCACCTCCTCCTCCCTCTCCGCACCAGCCATGAAAGATGTAGAATGATATGGTAGGGTGAATGTCATATGGATAAAGATCCATCCTAGGAGCCTGAGGAGTTCTGGAGGAGAGACTACAGGAGAGAATCAAGGAAGGAAGAGAAGTGTCTATGAAAATCCAGAGAAGAAAAGAATATCTGGGACAGAACAGTCAATAGTACCATGCTGAGGAAAGATCAAGAAGGATAAGGAGTGAGGAAAAAACCAATTAGACTGGGCAATCTGGAGATCCAGAGGCAACTCTGGAGTAGGCAGTTGAGTGATTAGGTCGGAACCAGAATGCAGAAGGTTTAGAAGGAAATGAGAAAGTGGAGGCAGTGAGTACAGACAGGTTTTTTGAGGACTTTACCTGAGCAAAAGGGGAGAGATGCAGGACAAAAGTTAGAGAAGATGGAAGGATTGAGTTAGAATTTCTGAAGGATGGGGCAGATATGGGTTTGTTTATAAGCAGTAAGGAAGGAAGGAGTAGATAGTGACTGAAGATTAGAAAAAGGGAGGAGATGATAGTGAGGACAATCTAAATTCAGAGCTAGAAATAACATTAGGGTTAGCCCAACACCCTCATTTTACACATAGGGAAAATGAGTCCCAGAGGACTAATGTGACTTCCTTGAGGCCACCGAGGTAAGTAGAAGAGCTGGGATTTGAGCCCAGGCCCTTTGATTCCAAATCCAGTGTTCCTTCTACCATATTACGGTACATCCTTCATGGCTGGGGGGAGGGGGAGGAGAAGGGAACTAAATTACAGAATCACCTTGCCACCAGATTCGGAGTTGGAAGGGACATGAGAGATTTACAGATGAAACTAAGGCTCAAGAGAGGTTAAATGATTTGCTCAGAGTGATACAAACAGTAAGTAGCAGGGCCAAAATGTGAACCCAAGTCCTTCCTCTGACTCCAAATGTTCCAGCACGCAAAATTCTTAAATCCTGCAGCATTAAAAACCTCACAGAGGTCCATCATTAGGGTCTCCCTGAGTTATTTTAAGAACACAGCAGAGAGAGTTGGCCTCAAAGCCTGGAAAGACTGGGCTTCAGGCCCATTTTTGACTCACACCAGCTGGGTTACTCTGGGCAGCTTTAACACCTTAACCTCTTAGTGTTCTAAGCACCTGTCTAAATTGCAGAGAAGTTGTACAGGTAGAGGGAATTTTCTTCATTCAGATATTCCCTATGGCAATGTAATCACAGATCCAGTCCCCATCCCTACCCCTATCTAACTTAATCTCTTCCTAAGTTTTTATGGACTGTCAGCATCTCCCCAGCGAACACTTGCCAAGGCTGCCCTTATAGGTATAAGGACTTTAACTCAGGTATGATGTTTCTACAAGATCTAAAATAAAGGCTTTCATTCCACAAGATCAGTATAGATTCTCCTAAGGACAAATAAGAAGTGTGCTTGCAGATCGCAGGAGTTTTTGTTTTTTTCCATACTTGTTTGTATCGTTCCTGGCTATTTCCATCCTCGGCTAAATGCAGAGTGGCAATGAAGGGTGGTAAACACCAGGGGGAAACTAAGAGTGGAAACCTTGCTCTTTTTAGCCATCATAAATCCTGAAAAATGCATCTGGCAAATGTTACTTGAATCCGTGTACTTGATGCTCACAAACCTCAAAACAAAACAAAACAAAACAAAAAACCCCACAAGAGTGTTTCTATTTATGTAAACATTAACAGACCTTAGTTAAAATACGTTAGAACCTGACATTTTACCCTGGAATAGTAGATTTAACAGACTACATTTAGCTTTATACCTGGAACTGTGGAATAGGCAAAGAGAAAATCGGCTTCAACTGGTATCTTGCATCCAGGATTAGCATTTGTATCATTTATAGGTCCGGAGTCCGTCTGGATCCCATCATCAAACTCAGAACCTCGGCAAGCCTGAAAACCAAAGCAGGATCCACCCAATAGAGTTTGAAATTAAAACCAGTGTGTTGGCCTCCTACCAAGTTATGGTGAATATAGAAAATGGAAGTGTTGCAAACTATTTCCACGAAGTCCACAGTGAGGGAGCTAATATACTAATCTCAGAAGAAAAAGGGGGAAAAACCTCAACTGCTTTTTAAAACCCAAAGAGCAAATATGTGGATACACGGATAAAACACAGTCCAAGTGTCTCTGTGGGACAGTCTTTTCTCTAACTTGGTTAACTTTGAAAAGTCATTACCTGAATGAAAAATAATTTGGGTTTCCCTAAGAGGGTCCTGCATTTATCTCCCCTAAAGTGGATAGTCAGATCTTTTATTGGGGTCACTCCATCTGTCCCATAAATTACGTCCTCTTCTCCATGGCTCAGAAGGATACAGGCAAAGCAGGCCGAGTCGCTATGGTCTTCTTGAGAAACTGGAATTAAAAAGTGATTTACAATGAGAAGAGTGAGCACTCAGGCCTTCTTTTTTTTTTCCTCCTAAGCCACTAATTCCCCTCTACAATTAACATTTCCTCAGATCTGGTATTTATTTTTGAGTGGGAGGGCATACAGAGAAAAGGGGTGGGTAGCCTCAGTGAAAAGTATTGGAATAAGGGGATAGTTGAGTTCTCTTCATTCTCATCCTCTCCTCCCTGTCCAGGTTCTACCAGGAAACACCACATACTGTCCAACAGGAGATGTGGGTATGGACAAAAGAGGCAGAGCCTTTCCCATTATAATTACCTGATATCTTAGACTCTCAAAGTTCTTTCTATAGCTGGAGGAAATGGTGGGGTGGTAGTGATATATGACAGCACTCAGAATATTTTTCCAACACCGTTTGAAGATTAGATAAGGTAAGATGAGTTAAGTCAGTTCAGTGACATCTTGCCCTCATTGCTACCACCAATGAAGTCAAAGAGAACAGCAGAACCACTGTCAATCTGATAGGCCAATAAGAAAGAACTCTATGATTATTATCTATTCCAGTTTTCTCAGGGGCGTATCAAATGTCATAAGGAAAACCATTCAGAACACTACACTGGTCTGAATAAGTAACAGATTTCCTTCCATAAATGTGACTTGCCTAAAACCTGAATGTGGCCTATTGTCTCATCTGTCATAACCTAGGGAGGGCTGTAGGTTTCCTCAACAGCTACAGAAATATTAGCAGTGACTTCCCTGTTGTTTCTTTTTCAGTTATGTCCAACTCTTGGTCACCTCATTTTTTTTTTTTTTGGCAAAGGTACTGGAGTGGTTTGCCACTTTCTTCTCCAGCTCATTTTACAGATGAGGAAACTAAGGCGGACAGGGTCGAGTGACTTGTCCAGGGTCACACAGTTAGTAAATGTCTGAGGCCAGATTTGAACTCATGAAGATGAGTCTTCCTGACTCTAGGCCCAGCACTCTATCTACTGCACCACTTAGCTGCCTCAGTGACTTCCCTACCAGCCCATATATATGTTGTTGGGTATAGTCAGAGAAGTTCAATGTGATTGCTGCAAGGTTAAAAAGAAGGCTGATCCCTCTCATTTGAAGGCTTCCAATGAAGGTCTTAATATCTTCCCTAAGTCCATCGATGATAGGCATTCCACATTTTATCCATTTCTTGCCTTTCTCCACGGGCCCAAATTTCTCTTAAAGAGGTCATTCTAAAATGGAATGAATTTGCTTACTTCTGACTTTTAGTCTGTATCATATTTTTTCACAGTTGTCCTCTAGTCCTTTTCAAAACTCCCAGAAGAGGCAGAAGTGCCTTGTGCATTTATAAAATGGTCACACAGCTAGTGTTTGAGGTGGGATATGAACACAGGTATTTCTGATTCTAAGTCAGCACTATCATACTACCAACAGGCCACACACTGGTCAGGCAGGCAACTTAGTAGGAGGGAAAGATCTGTAGTGCATCACTCTCTCTGTTTGGCCAAGAGGTCTTTTTATTTCATTAAATATTTCCTAATATCATCTTTTAAAATTTCTAACATTCATTTAAAAATTTTGAGCTCCAAATTCTCCCTTACTCCTTCCCCACCCATTGAGAAGACAAGCAATATATCATCAATTATACAGGTGAAGTCATGCGAAACACATTTCCATAATAGCCCTGTTGCAAACGCACACAGTCAGAGACACAGACACAGACACTTGGCTAAGAGGCTTGCTCTGTACAATTCACCTGCATTAACACTGGCTCACTGGAGCAAAAGACCCCCAGGCTCACCTTGTTTGAGCAGGTTCTGCATGTCGGAACAAGAGCGGTTGTTATAGACTGCCACATCAAAGCCCAAGTTTCTGAAGCATTTATACAGTCCCTCAGCATCTTTATCTGTGCCATTCCTTGTGCCCATGCCTAGAGTGGGAGGGGAACCAATCAATAAATTAGTTAGCCAACAAAATCGAACAACAAACATTTCCCAAGGGCCTCAAATCTGGCAGGAATATGAAATCAAGCTAGAGGCCACCTAACATTTAATACCAATTCATTCCTAATTTCACTTCCTCCCTTTGGCATCTTGAAAGGCCAAACTTAAGGAAAAAAAAAAAACAAGCAAAATAAAAACCAAACCTGAACGGATCAAAGCACTTTCAAACTAACCAAGGTGAGATGATTCCTTTGAATCAACATTGTGGTCAAATTGAGCAGTTCTGTAACAAAAACCTCTTTATATGGGCCTTCTGGGCAAAGTCTCACACGGGCCATTAGAGGGGATTTGGTTATCAAGCTGGACTATCTTGATTGTTGGGTATCTTAATCTAAGACCCTATCCCCGAAATAACTGCTAACTTCTAAGAGGCAGCACAACATAGTAGGGAAAATATTGGACTTGAGGGTTGGAACATGTAGACTAAAGTTCTCCTTTCATCATCTAGTAGCCTTATAATCTTGAGCAAATTTACTGAACCTGCTTCTCCGTCTGCAAAATGGACAATCACATGTGCACAAACTAACACTCTGGATTGTTTTATAGACCAAAGGAGATAATCAATGCAAAGCACTTTAGAAATCTTGAGTACTCTATGCCAACTATTGGCTATCAGACAGGGTGGGACCACAAGCCTGAATTTACTGTTTATTAGTTCTCTTCAGAGAGCTCCTGCATCCAGGTTCAATACATCAGAGACCATCTAGGTCAGGGGTGGGGAACCTGTGGCCTCGAAGCCAAATGCGGCCCTCTAGGTCCTCAAATGTGGCCCTTTGACTGAACTGGATGGGAGGTCAATGCCCTCATTGTACAGATGAGCAAACTGAGCCCCAGAGAAGTTAAGACACTTGCCTAGGAGCAAAAGCAATTGTGTCTGAACTGGTATTTGAACTCAGATATAATAATGATGATGATGATGATAATGATAATGATAATAATAATACTAATAATGATGACAAAGATGATAGCATTCACCTAGTGCTTTAAGGTTTGCAAAGTGCTTTACAAATATTAACTCATTTGACATTATCTTTACTATTTCTTTAAGTCTTTTGCATCTTAGACATTCTCAGTTTCTTTATTCAATCTTCTTATTGCTTTGATTTCAAGTAGGACTTACGGGTTTTATCCTCAAAGTGTTTGTTATTTATTATGACACATTTGCCAACCTTCTTGTAATTCATATCATATTGGAATTTGGGCACAACTACTCGCTTATGGTCATGCAGGGATTGGTTTGACTTCTCTGGTACATTTTTCTTTTTCCTAGGAAAAAAAACAAAAACAAAAAGCCAATTAGGGGTTATGAAAAGAAAAAGATGTGACCTCTGTGGCTTCCTACTTTACTGTCTGCCTCTATGAAGGACTTTTAGCCCACCAACATGTCTATCTGTGCAGAAAAATTAACTTGAGTGTGAAGATGGCTGTGCTACCTGATACTCAACAAGCATTTCCTACGTGCCAGGTATTGTGTTAAACTCTGAGGACACAAAGAAAGGCAAAAGACAGTCCCTGATCTCAAAGAGCTCACTGTTTCATGGTTCATTTTTGGTTTTGTATCCTTAGCATCTAGTATAGTGCCTAGAAAACAGTAGGAGCTTAATAGTTGATTGATGCCTAATTAACAACAAAAAAAAGATATTACAAATAAAATAAAGGAAGGTTCCCAAACTGAGGATACTATCTGGTTCTATAAAATTCAAAATATAGAATAGTCACAGATGCATGAGAAATCTTACCTTATTCTCTAGCGTTTGCTACTGTGGACCAGCCCTTCCTGATGGATAAAAATTTTCCCATGGCTTCCATGAAACTGCTCTCTCCTCATTCTCCTACCAGTTTGACTACTTCTCAGTTCCTTCACTGATTCCTTTATCCTCCTCTTCTCTCCTCCCATCCCCATCCTCCAATCAGCAACCATAAACATCCCCTAAGTCCATGTACTAGGCCCTCTGCTCTTTTCTCTCTCCATTCCCCCACAGAGTGATCTTACCTGTCCCCTTGGGTTCAATTATCATCATCTTATGCAGATGACTCTCAAATCTGCCTATATAGGCTCAACAGCCCCCATTCTAACTGCCTGCTGAACATCTCTGTCTGGATTTCTACAACACCCACTCATCATTTTACCTCATAAACCCACTCTACCCTTCCGTATAATTTCCTTGTTTTTGTTGATGGCACCCAGTTACCCAAGTCTGAAATCTTAAGAGTCAATCCTGATAATCTGCTCCTCTTCCCTCCCCCCATTTACAATTAGTTGCCAAGTCTTTTGGATTCTATCAAAAATCCACTCTCCCCCAATCTCATGGCTACTACGTTAGTTCAGGCCCTCATCACTTCTTAGTTATTAAAGTAATCTCCTGGCTTCAGGGATCTTCATCTTCCAGGTCATCCTTTCTATAGATGCCAAAATCATCTTCCTAATGCACAGGTCTAACCAAGTTATTCTCCTGCTCAAAAACCTTAGGTGGCTCCCTATTGCCTCCACGATAGAATGCAGAGTTCTTAACTGGGATTTAAATCCTTCTACAATTTGGTTTCAATCTACCTTTCAGTCTTACTTCCCCTTCATGTTCTAATCTCCTATTAGCCACTAGATCTCAATCTCTCCTCTTTCTAAGCAATCATAAATGCTTAGAATACTCATTTGTATGTATTAAAATTTTTTCCCCCTCTTCAGGCTAACATTCCCATAAGCTCAAAGTTTTCTTTCCTTTGTCCCTATCACACCCACCTTGGTTTTGCACACAATCGGGTTCAATTTAAGCTCCAGGAGGACAGAAACTGTGTTGTTTCCTATCTTTACATGCCTTGCATGTCTTAAGTTTTTGATGACATTTTAAAATTGAATTAAATTTTATGATAGAGAGAAACATCAAATGTCAGAACTGAAAGGGACCTTAGAGGTCATCTGGTTCACCCATTTATTTTTACAAATGAAAAAACAGAGAAGGAAAGCAATTTTGAAATGCTTCCAAACTTGGATCAATACAAGGACAGCTTATGACGTTAGAAGAGTGTTGATAAAGCATGCCTCCTACCTTGGACTAGAAGTACAGGTTAAGACAGACATTATTAGAAATGGCCAATGTGCTGATTTGTTTACCTTTACCGGAAGGAGGATGAGTTAGTGGGTAATGATAGAATACACACAAAATAAAAGGAATAAAAGGAAACTAAACCTCCTTCTCCAAATATCATAGTTGGTTAAGTCTTCTGACTCTCAGGCCAGTGATTTTTCCACATACATTGACATTTATGATTTGTTATATGGATGTAGATAAATATCACAGGTTCAGTCCCTTATCCTCAACATGACTTGACAGTGTTGTTGTATGATTGTACTCATTCTTACGGGATGTTAGACATTTTCTTAAAAAACAAAACAAAATGACAAATCAGATAAGCAAAAAAAAAAAAAAAAGAACTCACTCTACTTATTAACTAATTCACTTGCACATCTAGGCTACTCTTTCCTATTGTTTCTTTCCTATGTCACGTGTTAGGATATTTTGGCGTTTCAGCACATTGTTTTCTTCACTTAATGTTAAAAAAGGACAGTCAGAATTACAAGCTCAGTAACCAAAGGTGCTCACAGCAGTAGAGAATATTCAGCTCTTCAAGTCAAGCCTCCATCTTGATATTAGCAAAACTCATAAGAACACCAGGGACAGCAAAATGAGAATTATGTTGCTATGGGCCAGGACAAAGGGGAGTGGAGGCAATAAGGTATTTCCTCGTTGCTGCTCAGTCAATAAACTCATTTTTCCTTAGTGTCCCCTATTCAGGTTAAGGTGGCAATCACAGCTCCTATTGCTGTCTGTCCCTTAAAGTATGGTATAATGAATGGACTCCCAGTCTGGAAGCCAGGGTGAGCTCAACATCTAATTCTGGCTATGCCATTCACTTTATCTCCGAGATACTGGACGACTCATTTTATCTCTGGGTTTCTTGGTTTGGACTTTTGTGATTTCCAGAGTTTCTTTGGGCGCTAACATTTCATATTCTCTAACTGATAAATGGTCAAAGGATATAAAGTCAGTTTTCAAAGGAGGTAGTTTACGCTATCAATAACCGTATTTAAAAAATAGCTCCGAAAACACTAGAAAAATGCAAATTAAATCAACTCTGAGGTTTTACATCTCACACTCATCAGACTAGCAAGTTGACAAAAAAAAGGAAGATAATTATTGAAGGAGCTGTGGGAAAATTGGCACATTGAGGCCTTGTTAAAGGAGCTCTGAAGTGGTTCACTCATTCTGGAAAAAAAAATTTGGAACTATATTGATTAAATTGTGTACCCTTTGATTCAGCAATACTAGGCCTCTATACCTAAAATAAAAAATCAAAGATAGAGAGAAAAAAGGACCCACAAACCAAAATGTTTGGAGTAGTTCTTTTTTTTCAGTGGCAAAGAACTGGGGACTAAGAGCTTGCACATTAATCAGGGGATAATGGAACAAATTATGATATATGAATGTAATTTGTATGAAGGAACTGATGCAGAGTGAAGTGAGCAGAACTAGGAGAACAATATGTACAATAACAATACTGTAAAGACAAATAACTTTGAAAGACTTAAGAACTCTGATGAATGCAATGATAAATCGTGATTCCAGAGAACCCATGATAAAACATGAGTCTCACCTCCTGATAGAGGGATGCAGATTGAGACACTACGTATATTTGTTTAATGGGGGTTTATTTTTCTCTTTTCTTTATCAGTGGATAGTGGGGGGAGAGGGAAGAGAGGTGGGAGGGAAGGAAAATGAATGCCTGTTGACTGAAAAAAATTTTAACAAAAAATTTATAATATATAATCTGTCCTGAACCTCTTGGCAAAAAGACATTTTGATGGATCTGTTATCTCACTGATTTGGGTAATTTTCCTGGAAACGATGCAAATTACATTCTATCCATGTTCTGTCATTCTGTGCAACATTCAATCATATTCTCCCCAAAATCTTCCTCAGGGGTTCACCCAATGTTCTAGTCCTCACTGTGCTAGGGCCATCATTTTGGATGGTGGGGATACCAGTCCATTATCGAATTGTCTGTTGAATATTTCTTTCTGGATATCTCATTAGCATCTCAAACTCAGTATCTCCAATACTGAACCCATCATCTTCCCCTGAGAACCTGACCATTTTCTCAGTTTTTCTATTTCTGTGTAGTTAACCAAGTCTATAACCTCAGAGTTATTCTTGATTCCTTCCTCTTCTTCAACACGCCCCCTCATCTCCACCCCAAGATATGGGTTATCCAACCAGCTGCCATATTTTGTCATTTCAGCCTCCCAAATCTCTTACCTCTATGCTCTTCTCTTCATTCATGTAACCACCATACTACTTCAGGGACTTATTAGGAGTACAAAAATAGTCTCCTGATTGAACTCCATCCTTCTGTTCTCTGCCCTCACTATTTCATCCCTCATACAACTGCCAAGAAAAATCTTCCTAAGACCTAAGTCTGACCATATCACTCCGTCACTTGAAAGCCATCAGTGGTTCTCCCCTGAGCTTATCAGATAAAATAATAACAATAATGGTAGTTAACACTTTTATAGTATGTTAAGCAACGTGCATTATATATTTATTTCTCATTTGATCCTCAATTTCTTTTGATCCTATCCTGTGAAATAAGTGCTATTATTACTTCCATTTTACAGATGAGGAAAGTGAGGCTGGCCTTTCAGAGGTTAAATGATATGTCCAGAATCACACAACTACTAAGTGTATGAAACAGGATTTGAACCCAGGCCTTCCTGACTTGAAGTCTGGCCTTCTATTAGCCTGGTTTTTAATGCCCTACATAACTGGCTCCCAACTACTCTTCTAGCCTTATTTTACACTATCTCCCTTCATGAACTACATCCTAGCCAATTTGGCCTATTAACTGCTCTTCCACCCTCTACCTCTGGGGAGCACTTGCATAAACCTTCTCCTATGCCTGAAATGCACCCACTCCCCTAAAATAACACATCTCAGAATCTAGGTCTTCCTTCAAGGCTCAGCTCAGGTGCCATTTCCTCCATGAAGCCTTCCCTGATCTCTCCAGTTTTTAGTCTTCATTCTCTCCCTTATACTATACTTATTTGTGTTCATGTTGTGTGCCTCAAGTAGAATGTAAGCCCCTTGAGGGCAGGGGCTGTTTCATTTTTGTCTTTGTAAGTCTATCCCCTAACACAATGTCTTGCACACAGAAGGCACTTAAAATCAACCGCTGTTAAGCTGGATTGAATGGAAACCATTTTGTTCGCTAAA